GGCAAAAGCGGGGCAAAAGCGGACACCATTGATAAAACTCATATCCTGGTGAAATAGCCACATGGCAGCCGAAAACCGTATACCCTGGCTTTTTGTGCATTTTTTCCAAAAATTGGGGTTTTTTAAAAACGCCATGGGATGCGGGGAAAATTAATAAAAATCGGGACTGTCCCACCAAAAGCTGGACGCCTGGTCACCTTACAGTAGATAGCGCTCCTCTATGATGTGAGAATGCTTTGTGCTGCCTCCCCCCGTACCCCACCCCCGGTCTCTGAGTTGATTCCAACTCCTGGCGGCCCCGCGTAGGTCAGAGTAGAGCTCTTCCTCATTGAGTGTGCAGTGGCAGGTTTGGGGACAGTAGATCATCGGGCCTTTCTTCCTCAGCACCTCTGGATGGACTCAGACAGCCGGCCCTGTGCTTGGTAGCTGAGCTCATTAACCCTGTGCACTCACAACAGCAATAAGAAGAACAATCCAAACTCACAGGCACCGAGTCGATTCCGGCTCATAGCAGCCCCCTAGGATCTGGTGTAGCTGCCCCTGTGGGTTTCAGAGACTGTACCCCTTCACAGGAGTACAAGCCTCATCTCTCTCTTTAGGAGCAGCTGGTGGTTTTGAACTGCTGACCTTGGGGTTAGCAGCCCAACACATACCCCAGTTCACCACTAGGGCTCCATCCAACACGAAGATAATTCTTTTACAGATGTAGAGGCTGGACAGAGCTATTTCTACATTTTTCTTTACCTTTGCTATAAATGTATCCATATCCATGAGTATCGTGGAGCTTACGGGGACACTGTTATGAAAACTTCTTAGCTGTCGGCAAACACCTTTAGGGAGTGAGTCACTGGGACTGGAGCCTCACAACCATAGTTTCCAGCGACACCGAGGCCCATTGTCACGACATCGTCCACAAAGACAATACTGGACATCCTACTCGAGTGAGCAGGGTCTGGGGTCCGCAGAGCTCATGGGCAGCCATCTAAGGTGCAGCTACTCCTCTCTCGATCCAGAGCAAAGATGTCTAAGGAAAACTCAAAGCCCCTCAGGACCAATAATGAGAGTAGCGACACCCGGAGGATGGGGGGAAGGGGGGTAGGAAGGGGGGGCCGATGACAATGATCGACAGATAACACACAGAAGGACAAACAGAGAAGTGGGTGAAGGGAGACCGCAGTTGGTGTACGACATGAAAAGAATAGTCATTTATAAATTATCAAGGGATCGGGAGGGAGGGTGGGGAAGGGAGGGGGGAAAAAGGAATGAGCTGATACCAAGGGCTCAAGTAGAAAGAAAATGTTTTGAAAATGATGATGGCGACCTATGTACAGATGTGCTTGACCCAATGGACAGATGAACGGATTGTGATACGAGCTGTAAGAGCCCCCAATAAAATGATTTTTTTTAATGTATGTACCAGGAAAAAAGAAAAAGAAAAATCAAAGCTGTAGGAAAACAATTAGTTCACTGGACTAAAGGAGGCCGTGAACCCCAGCCTCCATGACCCTGGGACCCAAAGAACCAGGTGCTTCCCTGCTGACTGCTCTGAAAGAGATCACAGTAGGAAGTCCTGGATAGAGGCGAGAAAAATGTACAAAATCATTTTAAAAGACAAGGCTCATTGGTCTGATAGTGACGGATAAATAACAGAGCCTGGGGCCCTCAGTCTCCTCCCAAGCCTGAAACCAAATTTGCGCCCATGGCTCAGTTTTCAACCAACCAATGGGCCCGCGAGGGGAGTCCTAATGCCAAGAAGGTACACGTAATTCAGAACAGCCCGCCACGGTAGGTCCACAGGGGCTGCGTCTGTCCAGGGATGACGCTCAGGATGCAGGAAAGGACCGAGAAGGATGGAGGGTCATGGGAACCACAGGGAGGAGGTGGGAATAGTGCTTGTACGTCGGGCCAGAGCAATCCGTGTCCTGAAATAAACTGTGCTTGTACTCTCGCGTGGAAAACCAATTTGCTCTGTAAACCTTCACCCCACACACAATATGAAGTTCAAACAAACAAATGAAACTACAGTTCTCCTTGAGTCCACTCCGAGTCATGGCACCTCCCGTGTGGCAGAACAGGGCTCTGCTTTGCAGTGTTCAATGTCTGGTTTTGGGGGGAAAATCCTATCACCAGGTCTTTTAGCCAGGGAACTTTGAGGCAGATTTGAGCCACCAGCCCCTTGGTCAAGAGCCAGGCTCTTAGCCGTTTGCACCACCCAGGGGACCCACTACCTTAAGAGTAATCCCATGAAATGATGGGTTACCGGGAATTTAGTATATCCTATGTGCCATTTCCTGTGCGGCTCCATTCCTTCAAGGAGCTCAACCTCCAATGGATCCCCCGACCAGAGAGCAAAGTGAGGTGTGCTTTGCTCAGACTATACCCTCAGAGACGCTTTGAGAAGAGGTAGCACCCGGGGTGGGGTGGACTTCTGGGCAGGAAGAGGTGTGACTGGACACACCTCTATGTGGTGGACATCAGCTTCCCGGGGGGCATGGAGGAGGGCACTGCAGGTGTGGGCAAGGGGACAGATGTGGAGAGGTGACACGGAGCTGCCGGACTTCAATGTCATGTCCCCTCTTTGGATTTTAGAAAGACGGTGCTCATGGTCTGCTCAAGCACCTGGAGTCTGGTGAGCAGACCCCCTCGGGATCGGGGACCCCATCACGGAGGAGGAGGAGGAGGAGGGAAGCACAGGCCTCAAAGGACTTGGGGATGCCAGAGGTAAGCTCTCTGAGAGGCTCCCCTGCTGGGACACCAGGTGGATAGCCAATGTAACCCTGGCCACACAGCCTGCATCTCAGAAAGATTTTGTGTCCCAAAGAACAGCTCTTTCGTTTTCCTACCCCCCAAAATAATGATTTTAATCATTTATTTCATATTTGTTGTGTTGTCGTTGAAAACACACAGTTGACACATGAAGAGTATGGGCCCACTTAGACACCATTTTTTTCGGATGTCCTTTGGAGCTCCTCAGCTACAAGGGAGGAGATCATCTCTGCAGTTCTGACTCATCCCGACCCCGTGTGTGCACGAGCACGCCTGCTTCCTGGAACGTAGCAAAGAAGGAACCTGGTTACAAAGTGTCCAGGGGCTAACTGAAAGTTCAGCACTTCGAACCCACCAGAGGCTCCACAGAAGACAAGACCCGATGCCCCGCCCCTGTAAAGATTTTAAAGGCAAAACACAAACCTACAGCCTCTGAGCTGATTCCCGCTCATGGCGACCTATAGAAAACCAGACTCACGGCCATCAAGTGGATGCCGGCACACAGCGACCCTACGGGACAGGGTAGAACTGCCCCTGTGGCTTTATGAGACTGCCACGCTTTACGGGAGTAGAAAACCGAGTCTTTCTCCCTCAGAGCCGCTGGTGGTTTCGAACTGCTGACCTTGCGGTTCATAACTCAATGCGTAACCACTACGCCACCCAATAGGGCAGAGTGTACCTGCTGCCACAGGGTTGTCTAGGCTGTGATCTTGACAACAGCAGACAGCCCAGTCTTTCTCCCTTAGAACCCCCAGGGGGGTTTGAACCACCAACCTGGGTGTGATGAAGAGCGCTGTGCCTTTGGGATTCGCAGTCCTAGATCCCAGCCCTGGCTCTGCCGCTGGCTCTGCTGCGTGATGTTGGACAGGGAACCCTGCTGAGCTTCGGCTTCTCACCGCCACTCCCCCCGGCATCCCCCAGGACCTGCTCCTTGCTGCCACACCACCGCAGCTCCATCAGAGTCTATAAGTCTTTCCACCCCGGGGAAGACAGACTCCCTCTTTCAGGCATGTTTTCCCTGCTCACCATCCAGCTTGTTCATCCGTGACCAAGCTAATCATTGCCAAGAGTTCAGCTAACAAACTGCCTGTTCCATTGACCTCTCTGCCAGGACGCCGCCATTGGGGGCCGTTGGAATGTGCCAGGTCCGTGTGGATAGGACCATGCAGGGCAGGGCGGGTGGAGCCCTCAGATGCGCAGGAGACCAAGTAGACGATCCCTGCTGTCCCTTGAATGAACTCTGCCTTGATCCAGAGTCCCTTCAGCCGAAGCCCATCGGGGCACTCCAGAAAGCTCAAGGCAGGCCGCCCCGGGCTGGCTCTCCCCTGCGGGCTCGTGAGGCCCTCGTCGGTACAGTCTGCCAAGGATCACTCTTGGTCTGCCAAGGTCACGGCTCCACCTTCACCCAGTTATCTGAGCGATTGTACCTCCCCAGCTCAAGACACACTGGAGTTTGAAGTTCCTGGTCAATGTGTGTGCGGCCAGTTTTCCGAGTCATTGACTTGCTTCGGGCAGGAGATCATCTCATCCGAAGAGCCACTGGGGGAAGCAAGACGAATACCAAAGTAAGGGATGCTGTTTGGGCTGCAGTAGAGCATCTCACACGGAGTGAGCAGGGAGGGTGTGGCTCCTACCTCCAAGGAGGAAATCCAGGAATGCCCAGAATCCTCAGGGGCAGGCCATGCCCACACAGAGGCCTCACTGGTTATACCTTGATTGACAGGCCAGGCTCCACCCCTTCACCCTTAATCCTCTCAAGTCCCAAATTGACGCCAGGTTATGTAACTACCACACTCCCCTATGAGGCGTGCCTTTAGGAGAGAGACCGGGAGAAGGCGGTGTGAGGGTGGAGAGAGAGGTTGGAATGGTGCGTGTGATGTGTTTCATGTCTCCATGACTGGGCCAGGACTCTCAGTAGTTCAGCAAGGCCTCCCCATGGTGGGACCTAGGGTCACGTCATCATCTCTGTGATGGATCCTTGTGGGCAGTCAAGTCGTTGTAGGAGGACTGGGGTGGGGTGCACCCACATTTCCTCTAGGATGAGGCCTGTTTCCTATATAAGCAGACTCCGTGGAGAACCTGTTTGCTTCTTACTGGTCTAGATCCTACATCCGGCTCATCGACTTCCGGTTCTTGGGATTTGAGCCCATGGACCGCCATATTGCCTGGGAGCCCTCAGCGGCCTGCTATGATCTTACCTGCCGACCTTGGATTACTGGGACTCTGTAGCCACACACCTGCCTTGCAGGCATTGAATTCCTCTACCTCTGCATCCAGCGACCTGTGGTCTTCCTGCTTCGTCAGCCCGGCCTCCCCAGACACACGAGGCAGGAGAAGCGTCCCGTGCAACATTTGACCCATGGACTGGATTTATCAGTGTTTACAATTGTGTGAGCCTTCTTCTTGAACAATCCATAGAGCTATCTCTATCCCCTAACTTAACCTTCACCCTGACGCAAGGCATCGACAACCCAAGGACGCCAACTCTTGCTGGACCATCGTCTGAAGCTAAGCCAGCAGCTGAGAGCAGCTTCTCCCTCGGAGCCTGAGGAGGAATCCACGTGGCTGGAATCCTGGTCTCGGATTTCCAGCCCACAGAACAGTGAAACAATGCCCAGAATGCCCAGAATCCTCACTGCCCTGCTCAGAAGAGCATCCAAACGAGACGCTCCTGGGACGCCCGTGGTCTGTGCAGCCAGCTCTCCTGGGCACTTGTAAATGCCCCACATTGAAGAAGAAATCAATCCCCTGTGTTCCCCTGTCATGTTCCAAGGTGAATTTAGCAGTTGGGAACCAATAGTGTCTTGGGGAGCTCTTGCTTCAATTGAGGTGAGAAGCACTGAAATCAATTTAGATGCACTGTCATCAGTCAGCCTGCTTGGAACTGTGAAGTGGCGATTTCTCACGGTTAAGCGTGCCAGCCTCCAGCCCAGTGACAAGGGCTGTCTCCTGAGCATTTCTTCAGCACTGACTTTGCAGAGTGCTTCAGGGCCACCGTAAGAGGAGGCAGATGTGCAGAGGATGTGGGCATGTCAGGCAAGAGGGTACACGGGTCCATCTGGCTGCAGTCAGGGAAGGTTTCCGGGAGGAGGTGATCTCTGAGCAGTGTGTTTACGACCACCATTCACAGCCACCCAGTGCTTCTCTTCCCTTCTGGTCTAGTCACTCGGCGGAGTTCGCCTGCCTGCTCCCAGGTGGGGGCATTCCACACCTGTTCACTCTCTGGTAAGGCCAAGGCACAGAGGAGCTGAACGGGTTTGGCTGCCCACAAGGGATATTGCTGATGGCCGCGTAATTAAGGGTGATGGTTTGCCTGACTCCTGGAATTGAACGATATTAAGTTGGCAAATGTTGTTTTAATTCTTTTAATAAAAAGTTTTGCCGAACCGCTTATTTTCGTGTAAAGTCTTGCGTGTACAAGGGGGCTTCAGAAAGATCACGGGAAACTCCCATGACCTTTCACGCCACTTTCCATCGACCTTAGACACCCCTCCAGTTGTCACCTGTGCGTGGGCTTACCCCCTCAACAGGGCCATAATTAATCTTCCACTAAAAAGGGATTCGTGAGTTTAAGAAAGACTCTTGGTGATTTTTGTCATGCTGTGCGAAACTTTATTTCTAATAAGCATTGAAATTAAGTAAAGACTGTATCATTGGAGTTTGGGTTTTTTGGGGGGTTTTGTTGGTATTATCTGTCCATTCATTCACCCATCCATCCACCTATCCACCCATCCACCCACCAGTCATCCACCCATCTATTCATCCACCATCCATCCATATACTCACCATCTGCCTACCCACCATCCACCCGCCATCCATCTACCACCCATCTACCCACCCATCCATTCATCCTCCATCCATCTACCCACCCATCCACCTCCATCCATCTACCCACCCATCCATCCACCCATCCATTCATCCTCCATCCATCCATCTACCTGACATCCACCCATTCACCAGACATCCACCCCCCATACATCCACCCCCCATCCATTTACCCATTCATCCCACTCATTCATCTGTCTGCCATCCATCTATCATCACTCACCCATTCATCCATCTAGCGATCCATCCACTTATCTACCTACTCAATCAACCATCTGTGTACTCACCTATCTGTTTACTCATTCATACACTCACTTATCAAACCACCACCTGTCACTTCATCCTTCACCCAGCCATCCAATCGGCATCCACCCATCTATTCAACCAACCATCCATCTACTGTCCATCTATCCAGTCAACTCTATATCCATCCATCCATCCATCCACCACCTCTCCATGCTTCTGGGGCATGAACACACTCACCTGGGCCTAAGAGCGCTTGTTGCAGCCCCTTCCCGAGATGTGGCACTGGGCCAGCGCCTGGCTGGTTCTCCTTCTACAGAACGCCCCCCACCTCATCTGCTCTCTTTCCTCCCAGGAATGCGAGTTGTCTTTCGACAGCAACATCACAGCGTTTGCGCTGAAGGCCAAAGTCGTCTATCCCATCAACCAGAAATTCCGGGTGAGCGTTCAGAGCTGGGCGTGGGAGATGCAGCTGTTCATCAGGGGGCCAGAGAGTGGGGTGGGAGTGATGAGTGAGACGCCGATTCTGAGTCCTAGTCAAGGGCTCCGTGACATTTTAATAGAGATCCTTTTGAGGCGTTGTAACAAAGCCAAACGTTACGGTTAATCCATCTCGTGGCAGTACTGACAGGGAAGCCGTTACGACCACGTTATCTGAAGGTGGGGGATTACTGCCGTTTCTGTTGTCCCCTGGAACACCAGGGGAAGCAGCCAGGAAGGGCATCCCAGCACCACCCTGCCCTTCTACCACTGACACAAGCACCGATACTGGCAGAGTGACCACATCAGTCCTCTGCCACAGGCCCCAGGGCCCCAGGGCTTCAGACAGACCACTTCCTGTGGGCCTGCAGACCCAAGGAGGCACTCCAAAACCAACCTCCATCACTGCCATCGGTCACTGCTGGCTCATATAGGGCAGGGTAGAACTGCCCCTATGGGTTTCTGAGACTGTAAGTCTTCATAGGAGTAGAAAGCTTCCTCTTTCTGCCAAGGAGTGGCTAGTGGCTTTGTACTGCCGACCTTGCAGTTTACAGCCCAGCGTGTAACCCACGATGCCACCAGGGCTTCTAGCTCCTAGGCACTCTAACCTCGCAGTCATCCTGCGACAGCAGTAGCTCCACTTTACAGCTGTGGCCCAGAGAGATTAATGGCCTGTCCAAGGCCACCAGCTGGAAGTGGCAGAGCCTAAGTCAGCCCAGGCACATAGCTGCAGATCTGACACCTGGAGCCAGGAATTCACACCTGTGGTGGGGTGGGGGTAGAGTCACCTGAAGATGCTAGCCCATGGGCCACAGGGAGCCCTTGTCCCATGAGCTGACCTGTGAGAAAAGACGTTATTGGTCAAGTAAGCAGGAGAGAGACCAGGCGCTCTGTAGGGTCACTGTGAGTCAGAATTAACTCAGTGGCAGTGGGTTTGAGTTTTAGTTTTGATCAAAGCCAAGTAGAAGGAGACCTAGTGGCACACTGGTGTAAGCTAAGCATTGGGCTGCTAACCACAGGTCAGCAGTTCAGACCCACCAGCCTCTCCCTGGGAGAAAAGGTGAGACTGTGGGCTCCCATACAGATTTACAGCAGTTCCACTCTGACCTCGGGCAGTGGTTCTCAACCTTCCTAATGCCACGACCCTTTAATGCAGTTCCTCATGTTGTGGTGACCCCCCAACCATAACATTATTTGCGTTGCTACTTCATAACTGTCATTTTGCTAGTGTTATGAATCGGGCGCCACCTGTGAAACCCAAAGGGGTCGCGACCCACAGGTTGAGAACCGCTGCGCCAGGGTCTCTGGGACTCGGAGTGGACTCAGAAGCAGTGGGTTTGGGTTTGGGTTTGGGTCCCACTCCTGGTGTGCAAGTGGACAGGCTCCGCAGTCCCCGCTTTGGCCTCATTCCCAATCCAGCCTCGGCCGTTTCCTAACGTCCTGCCTGCCTCAGTCTCACCTGTGAGATGCGAGTGGAGGCTGGAGCAGTGCCTGCTCCGTCCAGGTGCCCTGAGCTAAAACGGGAGCCTGCACAGGAGGGCTGAGAGAAGTGTGTGTGACAGGCGTGTTGAGTGCTTGTAGGGGGTTGGGAGTTCGGGGCTTTTAAAATTATTACAGTAAGTCCCTGGGCTAGGTGCCTCGAGCTTAACGCTCCATCCCTGCCCCTCTCAACAAAACCCAGTGCGGTCGAGCTGATGCCGGCTCATAGTGAGCCTGCAGGACAGGGCAGAACTGCCCCCTATGAGTTTCCAAGACTGTAATGGTTCAGGGGAGTAGAAAGCCCCATCTTTCTCCCTTGGAGTGGCTGGAAGTTTTGAACGGGGCTGGGCAGAGGGGAGGCTCCAGGGTCAGTGTGGGGAGGGTGTTGTAGGCAGAGGCCCAGGCCTGAGGCTCGAGGTCCTGGTCAAGGAGCTGTGAGCCTATCCGGAGGGCTGTGGGGGTGACCTGGAAGGCCCCAGGCCCTGGAGGTGGAGGTGCACTAGGTAGCCATCAGATCTGGGCCTGGGAAGGCCTGGGATCCTGGCCAGCAGCAGAGAGGTGGGGGAGGGACCATAAGCAGAGCTGGTAGCAGGCATTCCAGAGAAAGGTCACCAGTGCCCAGGGGCTGTTCTCTTGGGGACACATGAGGGCGCAAGTTGTGACCAGGGCCCTGGCAGTCAGCTCCACCAGCCCTTCCTGTGGGCCACTCTCAGATGTCTCTGGGGTCCCTGGGATTCACCCAGTGACTTCTCCTCGGCCGCAGCCCCTTGCCGA